AAAATGCAAGCCCACCACAGAAGAACGCACATCCAAGCACAAGCAACATGTTTGACAAAATTGAGCTAATAATGTTAACTGAACAACACGAATCATCCCACTTTTCAGTGCAAAAATGGATATAAGCATTTCTGTTACATTCCCAAATGTGGCATTTAGAAGACCTCCAACTGCAAATTTCATTCCAAGGAATTAGAAGGAAATAGTCAGAACATAATTTATCAACTGAAGAAACCAATGTGATATAAGCAAAAATTATGCCAGCATTTTGCATGTTTATTGCCCAGATACAAACCAGTTTTATGTGAAATATGCTTCTCCAGCCATGCTTTGGACAAAATAACATTAAAGGAAATAACTCAAATCATTTTTTTTTAAATAAGAAATGACTCAAATCATTACGAACAACAATCCCAGAGCTCCTTCAATTGAGACTATGAAACTGGGAGAAGCAGGAAACCTCAACAAACCAGCAAATTCAACATAACAATTAACCCATAAACAGTTACAGAATCACCCAAAATTTTGGTTATGGAAGACTTTACCCGTGGGACCAGTGTAGCAAGCCAACTGCCTGTTCACAGTGATAACCGAGCAAATAACCGTTAGCTTCTAAGTTACGCACAAAATCATATAATAATTTGATGGCAAGAGATAGAAATCCTTACTCGGTAGCATATCCTAAACGTTCAGCCAACGGTGTTATACCCAACAAGCTCAGAAAGAAGACCCAACCCTGAAATCCACTGTAAAGAATGAATAACAACATTCTAAAACATCAGTACACAAAGCAAGAGAAGACTATTGAACATAACAACTCACCTTATGACCAGTCAGATTGTGAACCATAATAGCTAGAGGCCCAAAAGGCATAAGTAAATTTAGTTTATTAGAGAAAATTACAGTCTTTATGCTGCCAAGTAATTTATCTACACTTCCTGGCAAAAGTCCAAAAAATGATCCCTTTTTAACTGCATTGGTCAATTTTTCCTTTTGAATGGCTGTTTCTGGGCTAAAATGGCTCTTGTGCTCAAACTCATGAACCGGTATGTCGTTCAGCGATCCCATCTGTTGCGGAGTTTAAAAACCCATTAATCTAACAATTGAAATAACAATAACACTCCTATACGCGAATCTCAAAAATATTTAAAAACACGACAGAGCAAGAGTTTACTTCGAGCTGTGATTGGGACTGGATTCCAACAAATTGTGAATTGCAGGCCATGCGCTTCTACTAACAAGGCATGAGTAATCAAAACAACAAGCGG